GGGACGGGGAGGAGAAGGAAGACGATGGGGACATTGGAGGAAGATTCATGAGGTGAGTGACTTCTCTGATACAGTCTGAGCCTCAGCTGCTGCCTTTTTCATTGGTCACCGCTGTGACTTTCAACCAAAGGATCGTGGGTTCACTATAAGTAGTATATTGGTAAAGAAAAAAATAGTGTAGTAGTATATAAAAAGAAGAAAAGTACCATTTAAAAGCACAGACACCTAGCACTTACTATTTTGGCCCTTTATTAATGGTTAATAATTGAGGTTTTTTCTCATCCTTCGAGATATGCCCACTCAGCGACGGTGCCTTCTTTACTGGTTCCATAGTGCAATGATTATCACGCCTGCTTACACATCTGCCTTACATGCAGAAGGGCCTGGATTTGAACCCCAGAGGAACCGCATACTTGGCACCAGATCTGCTGTTAACACAACGATTTACCTCAGTGTGGGATCAATAAAGTTCAAGTTATTATTAATTATTGTTATTGTCAGTCTTCTGCTGCTCAGATGGTGGCAGTATGTGCTGCCTGTTCTTGGTGTCTTTTTTATCTTAGCTTTAGCCTTTGTATCTGTTTCCCATTTCTTGCCCACAGTATTGTATCATATTGGTGACGATCATCGTCAGCTTTAATTTCCTGGGCCGTCATACGTGATCACAACCACTTGTTTGGTGTTTATCAACTAGTCATCAGTCATCTGTGATATTTTTGTACCTTAACATTAGAGTGCACTGCCTGGTCCGTTGTCAATGTATGAGCCAATGTACCTGAAACAACACTGACCTATAGCTGGGCCTGGGAGTGGTTGTTCCCAGGTGTTGGTGTTTGATGAGCAACCTAAAGACAATGCTGTTGCAGTTTGACATCTGTTGGTTTGGAGAGTGATCCTTTTTCCTACAGTTCCCAGTCAGTCACCAATGCAAGTGTAAAACAATGAAAACAAGTTATTTTTGGTTAAATCCATTATGTTTGGCTGCTTAAAATTCTGGACACAAATTTTGTCGTCAGTACTCCACTTTCCCATGTGTAGGTCACGCCAGGACAGGGGTCATTTTGGGTCAACGGTAAATTTCAAGGCCACGTCCCAAACTCCACAAACACATGGCAGTATTTGTAGATCCTGCCGCCTCTTTTTTTAGCTGCAAACTAGGTGTGGGGCATTTTCTCGCCTCCAGAGAAAGGTTAGCGCAAACATTCGACCCCTGATTTCCTCCGTTGGTTGTGTTTACCCAACAAAATCCCTAGTGCGTTCATGTCTGTGCAATCACAAAGACTTCAAACCTGGTCTGTGGACTTTCTCAGCAGAACATATATGTGTGCATGCATGTGCACGTGGGTGTGCCTACGTCAGGGATGCTGAATATGCAGCTGCAGCGGTCATTTCCCACCAGCTTTTGAATTATGGATTACTGCCTGAGCTGGAGCGTCATGAAGTCAGTCAGAGCACGCTCTCTGGAATACATTTGCGTGACCCTCGACGAACACAGTGCAGCTCTTTAGCCCTGGTGCTCCAGCCTCCGCAGCTTGAGGTAAAGTGTTTGCTACAAATGAGGGTCAAATGAAAACGGTTGCATGTTTTTAACTCGCCTGTGCTGCGGGGTTAAAAATGGCATCATTAAAATTCTGCTCTCATTTGGCAGCGCAGGGCAGATGAACTAACAAATCATTTTCCTCCTTCCTTCTCACTCCCTTTCATTTATCAAACATGTTTATGTGTTGCTCAACGCTGCACGGGCCTCTTGTGAATTTGGCAGCGCAGTTTTGTTTTATTGGCTGCTGCTGCCTTTGGTTACAAGTGAATAAAAGCGAGATTAAAAGGAATAGGAAAGTTTTTGTTCCTATGTTCTGTGGGTTAAACAAATGCTGCGGTGGATCAGCAGGGACGACCACTGAAGGTCATCAATACTTCCTAATATAAAACACTTTGAGCCGCAGTCAACAACAGATGGAATGAAACATGTGGCTGAATCTGAGCCATTGAAGAGTTTTCTTTGAATCTGATAATAAAGTACAGTGTTGGTTCTGAGATTTCAAAATGTAAAACAATATGACCATGTGCATTCATATGGAAATTCTGTCGTTCTGCTGTGATTAATACATATAAACATTTGACAAAAAATAGCCAACTATTTTACTATAGTACTTTTTCCTCATTGTCGCTAAGAAAAAGACTAACATTTGTTAATGAAAATATATGTACACAAGTATATGGTAACTTTGTCAAAAATAACATCAGGTAAAGTTTGTGAACCCTGAGAAACCCTCGCTCTGAAACACTGTATTGTCATCATCATCATCACCATTATCAACATCATCGTTCACATCAGAGTCGACGAACATTTGACTTGTGATCACGTTTTCTTTTTACATATCTTGCTGTGTTGCTGCTGCTGTTGTCGTAAAGACAGAGAGCAGGACGTGGGAGGACGAATGGTTCCCACATGTCTGAATATTGGTGTATCTGTGTGTGGGTGTACTTTTTGGGGGGAGGGGTGATCAATCTGTTCGACCCAAACTGTGGGAACAGCCGAGTTCAGATCAGGCGATTAATTGACAGAATCCAGATTTATTTGTTGCGAGCGCTCAGCCCGACCTCACCAGTCGATGGTGCATAGATGTGCGTGTCGCCTAAACTTACAACTGCACATGACTTGGCATCAGAGTCTCTTCCTCCCCTGTTCTCCTCTCCACGTCTAGACTGCAACTGAGAGGTAAAGTGAGATAGAAGAGAGAGAAAATATTCCTTCTGCTCAGGCTCAGTTTGGACGACTTTTGCCAAATGGATCCCAGCGGACGCTCTGGGCTCCTAGATGGTTTAAACTGGTGTGCTGCTGCTGCTGCTGCTGCTGCTGCACGATGACGTCCTTCAGGATGGTGGCCTCTTGTATTTTCTGAGAGCAGTATTTTATAACTTCCTCAGGGAGCAGGACAGGAAAGAGGCGTCAGCTCTTCGTTGAAGTGCCCAGAAGCTTCTTTTTTATTCACATTCAAGCCTTTGTCTTGCTCTTCTGATTTGTGTTTCTAAGGTTAATGTGATACGTAATGACAGCATTAGCTAACTATTAGAAAAGTCATCCAGGGGCGGGACAGTGTGAGTTAGCAACAGTTGTCATTTGTTCTCAGCATGGGATTTCACATCCAGCTCCACAGGAAAAGTCAGGTTCTGTCATCTCCCATGTAATGGTTCCTACTCACCGAAGGCAAGAAGATTTTTCATAGTTGTGTTGATCACATGGAGTTTGGCTGAGTGGAGCTTGTTTTTTTGTGTTCTAAAATGTTCTGTGGAACGAATACAAACCACAAATATCAAGCCATTCTCCTTGCAGAGTGGTTTCTAATGCAACACCATGAATATTTAAAAGTCCATTCAATCCATTGTGTTCATGAATGTGGGCTTTACTAAAGAAATTGACTCGACTAAACCAGGCGTCTTACAAATGTAAAAACATCATTTCATATACAAGGTCACATTTTCCTCCATTATCGTCTTAACGAGATCGTCTTAAAAATGACAACAGAAGAAACCAGTGATGTCCAAAGTCAGTGGGACCTCCAGCCTTATTTTTGTGGGCAGAGGGTGACGTGGGTCATGGAGGACAGCCTGTGTCCTCTGGATGACTCCGACCTGGACGATCTTGCCAAGGTCATGTAGACATTATCAACCGTGAGAATATTTTCCTCTTTAAGGCCAAGAAATATTTCTGCGGCTGAAACTTCAAACTGCAGTCAAACACGGAACAAATACAGTGACGCAATGAAGATGGTGATGCAACGGGAATTCATCAGACAATCCCAGTAGGTGGTGACAGATTCTTCATCTCATGTAGTACTTTATTAGTTACAGGATCTCTGGGTTCCATCCGTTTTGCAGCTTTGTGGCAACACGGCCAGATGGAGATCTTTAACTGCCCTGCAAACGGAGCAGAGAACCAGGCTTTTGGCTCCGACTCTGACCCTGACAGATCAGACCTCCTCTGAGACACACACAGAGAGAGAGAGAGAGAGAGAGAGAGAGAGAGAGGTTTTACTGCAGAAGCTACTTTCTGCTGCTACTCTTCTTCTTCTTCTGTACTGATTCAGACACTCTTCAGATTCCAGTGTCTCCTCCAATCCTATATTTGAGGACATTTACCAACTTTTATTCTGTTATTATATCTGTTATTATTTATATTTGTATTATTATTATAATTATTTTGATTTTTTAAAAACTATATCAACATAATCACTCTCATATCATACTGTAGTACTGAGATTTTAACTCTCATTTTAGTCTTTAGCTGAGTCTGGTCAGGTTTTTTTCCTTCCACCATCGTCACACTGCTGCTCAGCGTTTTTTATAATAATGTTCAAACATGATGATGATTTAATGTCAGTGTAATATTTTGTTTACATTTTCCTCTGTTAGGGGATTTTGGGAGGTTATGTTCAGATCGGCAGCTCATTACGGAGTGGTAAGAAGGTCAATGTTGGCAGGTCCAAATCCCTCCTTAGCCGACTGTGGGGTGTGAGGTGGGGAACAGCCACTGCCCAGTTGCCTCTGAAAGTGACCCACAGGATAGGTGGGGAACAGTTGCCTCTGAAAGTGACCCACAGGAATGGATTGATGGGTTGATGCAGAGGATGGATTCTGGAGCTGGTTCTTTGAGGCAGATTTGTTTTGTGAACTTGGGCTAAACAAATAAAATTGATTTGACTTTCAAATACATATATGTGGATGTCAAAAACCTCTCCCTCCATTGAATTATTCAGTAATAAAAACAGTTAGGGCTTCATAGGAGGACTCCTTCTCCAAACTGTAGAAACCAGCAGCAGAGAACAGGAAGAGCAAATGAGAACCTAACTGTGTTTTAAATTCTGGGCAAAGTTTGTTGCATTAAATTTGACAGTCAACAAACCCCACATGGGAGAAATCTTATCAAACATCTTAAGTGCCTTTTCTGTTCCACCATCTGTTCTAAATGACCTCTACAACTGCCACATGTTCCAATCCAGGGGCTGCATCTCCAGGAGGCTGAGTTTCAAGACTGACTGCAACAGGAACTGTGGCTCAGCCTGGATCCAGAGAAACCTTCCAGTCTGGACCACGTGACTCGTCACTTTAAGGTAAGGTGGGCATTTATGAGGCACCGGAACTACAGGAGTGAGGGGAAGAAAAGATGGAGGCAAAAAAAATGAGTTTAATTTTTATGATGAGGTCATACGCATGTGTACCACGCAGACTGCATCCTACAAAGTAGTCAAATATTTTAGTTCACTTTCTAGGATTAGAACTTGGCTAACCTGTTACTTTAATAATAAAGGGTCTACATTATTAAATGGTTCTGGGTTTGATTCCGCTTAGTGCCCAGTCCCAGTTTAGGTTGTGTCAGGAAGGACATTCAAAACTTTACCAAAACACTTTGTGCAGTACCACAGTGGTGAACCTAGTGGTCTACCACAAGTACTCTGTACCTCTAGTACTCTGAGTTATATACTGTATATAAGTCAGGTTTTGAGCAAAACTGGGGAAACAATTGTGTCTGGCCCAACTGGACAATTCTCCTTTTATGGCCCATATCAGGCCCAGATGTTTCCTTGTGTGCTCAGTAACTCCATTTTGTATTATTACTTCATGTGTGTATTAATAGTTATTTTGTGTCATGTATTTACTCTATAACCAGGTATTAATGTGTCCTTGGTCTGAGCTAGAGAAAACTGACATTTGTGCCGTACAGACAGTCATAAAACAATAGAAATGGGTCACATATTGGTAAAGACGTTGGATGTGGGCCACATCTGCCTGTCCAGTGTAAATGCAGTTTTTCCAGGTCTTTCATTGAAAACATGAGGGAGCAGTAAACAGTAAACACACGCAGCCATTACAACAGTCAGTCAACATCATTTCCTCTCCTTTATAAGATGGTGTTCTGGTCAGGGTGCAGGCCCTGTACCTGACCTCTGACCCCTGGACGGCAGACCTGCCTCCCGTCCCTCCGACACCTCGTAAACATTGACAACAGCTCTTAACTGACAACTAATCACCGGCCTGCAGTGGTGTGGACGGCGGCTAACGCTGCTAAATTAAAACTTTCCCAGGAGCACCGGGCCGGATGAGGCACCTGTTAATGATGACATGATGTCACTCTCCCACCACAGCTACCGGGCCAATTAGTGCACACACGTGTTTGTCCTGCCCTGCTTTTTAAAGGGCCACCAGCTCCACTTTCTGGAGATTGTTGTTCTCATCATAGGTTTGTCCAAAGTAAAGGCTGGGGACGAGTTCTGGAACTTAGATATATTTGATGTATTTTATGCTATTTCTGTGCTAACATTTTGTCATTATTAGCAAATGGTTAGCAAACTTTCTGATTTTGGCTCACCATCAACTATTCCTGAGCCCAAAACCTTTACTTTTTAGTTTGAAACATGCAGCTAATTGTTGTCATTGCCATATTTAGTGGTTATCATTTGGCTTCTTATATGTATAGTCTTTGGTCTGGTTTTGACATTTAAGCTAACGTCACCCACTGTGCCAGCTAATGATGACCAACTTTGTTTTCTTTACTGTTGCTAGTCACTTTCTTACAAAAGAAAAAATATGTTTTTTTAGGTTAACATGAGAGCTAATTTGGGCAAACTTTGGATTATTCTAAATCTGTAAATGTAGTAATGTATGTGTAAAATTCCAGTCTTTTTAAAACACTCTCACTGACCTGGATAAAAGTCCCTGACTAATGTTACACACACACACGTGTGTTACTTGATAGTGCAGCTAAAAGACTCCTATTTTTACTGCCCTGATAGTTTTTCTCTAAAGAAAACAACACAGTGAGACTGTGACAGTACAGACGGCAAATGACTGTGGAGCAGCAGCAGCAGTAACAGC